GGTGGGGCAGGCGCTCTCGTCTCCCTGGAAACAGATGCGCAAAGGAAAGAGGCCCTTGCTTGGGTTGGCCGCGGAGTCCGCCGCCGCCGCCCCCAACTCCTCCCGGGGAGAGAGAGAGTGGAGGAGAAAGGGAAAGACAGAGAGAAGCATCTATGTGAGAGATACACACCCATTGGTTGCCTCCTGCAGGAGCCCTGACCAGGGCCTGGGCTGGGGAGGAGCCTGCAACCGAGGTTCCTGCTCTTGACAGGATTCAAACCAGGGCCCCTTCGGTCAGCAGGCCAATGCTCTGTCCACTGAGCCAACCCGGCCAGGTCCAAGGTATCACCTTTTTTACTTTTGAATTTTCCATTTGACTTTATTTTCCAATACACTTTCTTTTTTTTAAAAAAAAAACCCACTACACTTTCTGTGGGGATGACAAATATCAGTATTAGGAAATCCAATTATACAAAAATACTACATCTAGTTGTGTAGATATATTATGCTTTGGGGACATACATTAGGTGGCGCTCATTACACAGTGACTATATGGTAACTACCATGAAGCACAGAACTGTGACGGCCACAGCTGCAGGCCCTGGGCCTCTCTGCTGAGCACTTTGGGAACCTGGATGCCCCCGCCAGAGGCCCGACCAGGAAACCTGCTCAGGAGTCCAGCCCTGAAAGGGCAGTTCCCAGAGGCCCTTGCAGCTGACAGATGCCAGACAAGCACGTGAGCGATGAAGTAGTTACAGCCTCACTCACAAAAGCTACCATTTCTCCTTCTAGAAAGAAGCAGGAAGGGAAGGAATTGCTTGAATCCGCGCCTGGCCTGTCAGGTGGGAGCGCAGAGGAGGCTGGGAGAGCGGTGGCAGGAGACCCGGTGGGCCATTGGGCTGGCTCCTTCATAATCATTGTTGGCTCCTAAACACTGGTAGCAAGGTGACTTCCGATTTCTAATCTCAGGTAAATTACAGATAAAGGAACAAGGCCCGGAGTCATACACGAAGATTAATAAACATCGCTTCCAAACTGCTCCCAGCAGGCTCTCCACACAGGCACCCCGATTTCTTCTTCCGGCGTCTGGCTTGCAGAGCAGTTCCCATGGCCATTTCCAAACCTCCCTCCCTCCATCTTCGGTCTTTGCTGAGCTCTCCGTGTCCCCTAAGCGCCAGTCCTGTGGCCATCTCTCCCCTTCTTCCGCTTTCACCGCTCCTGCTGCAATTGGCGGCTCCCCTATGGGCTCATCCTTCCCAAGATCCTCCTCGCTCCCAGCCAGGACGATGGGCCCATGGGGACAGAAACGCTTCACCTGCTGAGGCCCTTTCTCTGGGATGTTCTCTAAACTCTCAGGGCTGTCAGTGGAGAGACACATCCGGAGAACATCCGTGTCCGGGCAGGAGAGGGGCCTCCAGCCACCATCCCCCTCCTGCCCAGCTGTGCCCCCCAAAGCCCGCTCGGCCTGCTCTCCGCCCCCTTCCGTGCCTGCCCCCTCGTTCCCACGCACCGGTGGTCCCTGCACCCCTGGGGACGGGTCCTAAGAGCGATGAGGCAGCAGGTCTTGCCACCGGCGCCATCACCACCATCACCGATTCCCCGGGATGGCAGCCATTGCTGACAAAGGCGCTGCAGGATGCACAGGCGGCCTGTGGCAGAAGCTCTGCAAAGGGCCTTGACCTTCTCAGATGGACGGCGCTCGGGATCCGCTCCCACTCCGGCCTCTCTGCGCCCACGACGAAGTCCCTTGTCCCAAGCTTGGGGACTAGGGCAGCATCTAAGGAGGCGGCGGACTAACCAGAGAGCCCACGCAGGACAGCGGGCGGCGGGTGGGGAGCCACGTGCGTCCCCCCACATGCCCGGGTGGATGGGCTCAGTCTCAAGGCACCCCCTTTAACCAAGCCCTCCGGGGAGGCTGATGCAGCCATGCAGGCACCTGGTCAGGCTCTCACTATCGAATGTGTGACCTGAAGACCAGCAACATCAGCAACAGCCGGTCACTAATGCGGCAGCCCCTGCGTCTCAGCACCACGTCCAGGCCCCTCCCGCGCACAGGCCCCACTCGCTGGGCTCCGCGCCAGAACTGGGCCGTGGGCTCGGGGTGTGTGGTCTGAGGAGCCTACCTGGCCCCAGCTCCGTGCTCACTCCTCCTTCCTGTCCCTCCTGCACCCCCTGGTCCCTGGGGCCTCATCCTCGCTCCAGGCTGTGACTGTCCTGTCTGCTGCCCCCTCCCACCTGTTCCTCCAGCCTGACCTTCCTCCTACAGGTCCCCACACTCAGCGACCAGCGACCCCGACAGCTCCCCTTCCCTTCTCTCCAGGGGAAGGCCACCCACCCCCTCCCCCTGCTCCCCACAGGCTCACAACAAGCCCCATCTTCCTACCTGCATGGCACAGCTTTGGGGTGTCTTCCCTCCCTCCAGCTCCCACCCCAGATTCCCTCAGAAATGCTGTGACATCCATCTGTCCACATGTTCTGTGTCCAGCCACTTCCCACTGCTTCCCCTTCACATCCCCGCAAACCAGCCTCTCTCCCTGGGACACGGGGAAGTGCCGGCTCCACTCCCTGCAGCCTCAGGGGCCCTTCCTCATGGTACTGTTCTCAGCACAACAGCCAGCCTAACCCTTTCATTTATTTTTATTTATTATTTTTAAAAAATATATTTTACTGATTTTTTACAGAGAGGAAGGGAGAGGGATAGGGAACTAGAAACATCAATGAGAGAGAAACATGGATTAGCTGCCTCCTGCAAACCCCCTCCCTAAACCCAGGTACATGCCCTTGACCGGAATCGAACAGGGGACCCTTCAGTCCGCAGGCAAATGGTCTATCCACTGAGTGAAACCAGTTAGGGCATGACCCTTTTATTTTTAAAAAAATATATTTTTATTGATTTGAGAGAGAGGAAGGGAGAGGGAGATAGAAACATCAATGATGTGAGTGAATCACTGATGGGCTGCCTCCTGCAGGCCCCACACTGGGGATGGAGCCTGCAACCCAGGCATGTTCCCTGACCAGGAATCAAACAGTGATCTCCTGGTTCATAGGTTGAGGCTCAACCATGAGCCATGCTGGCCGGGTCAGACTGATTCTTTTAAAAAGAAAAGTGAAATCACATCTATCTTTGCTCAAAACTCCTCCGCCGTCCCCAGCCCCACCTGAGGCGGTGTGTACCTGACTCTGTCCACTGCACTCTGCGTCACCACACTGGCCTTCTGGCTGCTCCCAACACACAGACGTGCTCCCTGCCCAGTGCGTTTCCGCTGGAGTCTCCCCGCCTAGAGAGAACTTGCCCCCGACACACATACTCATGGGTAAACACTCACCACTTTCTCGTCTTTCCTCAAGTCACCTTCCCAGTGAGGCCCATGCTGTCCCTGGAACATAAAATAGCCGCCTTCGTAACAGCCACTTTTGCTCAATGGATAGAGTGCCGCCCTCGGACTGAAGGTCACAGGTTGTATTCCGGTCAAGGGCATGTACCTCGGTGCAGGCTCCATGGGACCCCCATGCTGGAGGCAACAAATAGATGCGTCTCTCTTACATGGATGTTTCTCTCTCTCTCTGTCTCTCCCCTCCCCCTCCACTCTCCTTAAAAGTCAATGGAAAAATATCCTCAGTTGAGGACCAACAAACAAAAAAAGCCATCTTCCCTCCCCCACACCCACAGAGGATCCCTCCCCCACAGCACTCACCATTCTAGCACAGACGCCTCACTGGCTGTGGGGAAAGGATGCAGCCTGTCTCTGTGCAATAGAACATACGCTCTGTGAGGCCTGCAGCGTGGCCTGCTCTCAGCTCCCTGAGGTGGAGCCGCCTCACTTCCTGTGCGTCACAGACCTTGTGGGCTTTTCAATGGAAGGTGAGGCTTTCCACCAGCAAGTAGATTGTGACACAGGTGAGAGTGAGCATTTTTCACAATGAAGCACATGTTACCTAAGGTGTGCACATTATTGTTTAGACATAAAACTATTGGACACTGAGTACATGCCAGTACAGTGTAAGCATAACGTTTATGTACAGGAAGAAGCCAAAGCATCTGAGCCTCGGTTTATGTCAATGTTGGAATTACTGTGGGGTCAGGACCCGATCTGAAGTACCTCCAAGGTCCCTGTGCGTTCCAGAGGGAACAGCTGTCACACGGTCACAAAGTCCTGGCTGAGGGGTCGCCATCAGAGAACCCGTCCCTGTCCCACACACAGTGTCCTCATGGCTGTGGCCCCAGCACAGCTGTCCTGGGGCTGCCGCAGCTCAGGGTGCACCCGGGGCCGACACTGCACCTGCACTTTCACAGCGCTGCTCCCCTAAACCTCCAGCAGCCTCTTTCCTGACATCCTGGGTCCCATGGGGTCAGCACTAGAGGGAAGGACGGGAGAGAGGGCAGCGGGCAGAGCACAGTCCCAGCAGGAACTGATCTCAGAGGAGGAATCCTGCTCCTGCTAAATCCTCTGAGTTCAGGGAAAGACGGAAGAACAATCAGGCCCAGAAGGAGGCAGGAGCAGGAGAAGCCTGAACACCCATCTCCACACCGCGGGGTCTTGTGTGCAGGGGCCCTGGGCCTGTGGGACAATGACGGGCAAAATGACTCCTGTTGCTATAAGACAGGGACACCCAGAGAAAGAGAACAAAACTCACACACAAACACAGTAACAAGCATAACATCCACCAAAGCAAAGAAATAACAAACAACCAGGAGATGAGAGCCAAGGGTGGGACCCAGGCCTGAGCCCAGGCTGACCTGCCCCAGGAAGGCCTTGTGTCCAGGGTCCTGGAGATGTGCTGCTTTACGACACCTGACAAGGCCTGGGGGATGTGAGTCCCTGTGACCACAGGTCCTGGTGGGACAGGGTTCCACTGAGGGACAAGGTCAGAGGAGCAGAGAGGGGACCCGGCAAAGGAGTGACCACATCAAAGCCCACGATGCACTGAGTACTGACCAGGCACAGGCCCCAACCACACTCTGTCCTAACAGCCCCTCCCGTCCCACCTGGAACAACCACAGATACACAAGGTTCTGGAAATCTCTTGATGCTTCAATTTATTTCCGCTCAGAATTTACGATCTTCCCCTTTAATTAACCCACAACCCTGAAGGCAACAAGTAAACAAACAAGGTCACAGCCAGAGTCTCATTTCAATATGGAGCAGGAAGTTGTAGCTCAGAGCACTGGGCAGTAAAGGCAGGGATGGGGAGGGCCCAGCCCGCCTCTGCTGACAGGAAAGTGTGGGGAGCAGGGCTGGGCCAGCCCCCCAATCAGAGGTTCTTGAGTCAGGAAGTGGGAGCGTGAACACATTTTCCATCACTCAGTCCCCACAAGGCAGCTGCCTCACGCTGTGGAGGACAAGCATCATGAACACATTCAGGTCAGTGGCTGTAACTGGTGACATTCTCAGAGTCCACTTCATGCTCACAGTGTCCCACAGACCCCCAACCACCCAGTCCTCCCCTCTGCCCACCCCTCCCCCTGGCAGGGTCTCACCTTTAGAAGCTGAGAGAGACACATCAGAGCCCTGGGCGCTGTCACTGCCTGAGGGGGACACACCAGGACGGGGTTAGAGGCCTAGGACAGGAGACTAAGGAGGAACTATGGGGAGGTGGGGGTCTCTCCTATGGCTCCCTAATGCACTGAAACAGGGACTCAGGGGTCACCCCTCCATACTCACTGGCAGCCTGAGCGTAGCTCCCTCCTTTCCCACCTGCGGGAAGAAAACATTCCATGAGAGACCAGGGAGGAGGCAGGGCCATGACGTCCTAAAGGAAGTAGTCCTGGGCCCCAGAGAAGTTTCCAGAACCCTGTGTATAAACCCAGGGCAGGACCAGGAAACCTGAGGGAAGTGCATGTGTGGGGACTGGACCCACCACCCTCCTGGAGGTCAGTCCTCAGCAGGGACCTACCCTCTGACCTGGGGCTGCTGGGAACGGGGTCCCCACCACCAGCATCATCAGGTGATAAGTGGGTCCCTCATTTTCCCACAGGCCTCACTACAGAGTAAGTGTGAGCACAGAGAACCCCACACTGGCCATCACACGTGTGGGGATGGTGCTTCCCATGAATGAGGCAGGACACACGTCTACCTGGGCTTGTACTCCCAGTGGAACAAGAGACACAGACCCCTCCGCTGCCCACCTGAGCGCCTCCTCCCCCACATCACAGCTCCAGCCACGGCTCCCAGCAGAACCAGGCCCCCAGCGATGCCCATGATGATGATGAAGGTGTGAGAAGGCGGCTCTGGAGGGAGAAGGAAAGGGAGGGTGAGGGCCCTGACCCCAGGCCTCAGCCCCAACCCCACTGAGGTCCCCCAGGGCCCTGCTGCCCTGAGAAGAGGCTCTGTGCCCACGGCCCCTCCTCACCCCATCTCAGGGTCAGGGGCTCAGGCAGCCCCTCGTGCTGCACATGGCACGTGTATCTCTGCTCCTCTCCAGGGGGCACCCCCACGGCCGCCCACTTCTGGAAGGTGCCGTCCCCCGCAGGCCTGGTCTCCACCAGCTCCATGTCCTGGGTCTGGTCCTCCCCGTCACGCTGCCAGGTCAGGCTGATGTCACAGCACACACATCAGCCTGGACAGAGGCACCTGGAAGGCCCTCCTAGTCTTTAGAAAGTTCTAGAATCAGAGAGACACAGCCCAGGCCAGGAGGCAGGTCTCTGAGGGGAGAAAAGGGATTTGTGGTCCTGACCTGGGTGGAGGCCACGTGACTCAGAAAAGCTGGGGTGAGGCCTCAGACACAGTGGGTGTGGGCAGCGCACAAGGCCTGAGAGACAAGGTCCCCGTGGGTCCCAGAGCCCCTACAGGGCCCATGGGAACCGCTGATGGGCTATTTCAGGGGGTCTCCCTGCCCCAGAGGAGAGCCTGCACCCCTAACTGACCCTGAGAGGAGGGGGTCCCTCTGTTACCTGACCTGACATCCAGGGGGCTCCCTCCCTGACCCCAAGGAGGGGTGTCTGACACTGACCCCCTGTCCTGTCTCCTTGTAGGAGCCCCAGCCCGAGGGAGAGGGGATGGCCCCAGGGCGCACAGTACCTGCGCGCTGCAGGCTCTCCTTCCCTTTTTCGAGGTACATGAGCAGGGACTCCACACACAGGCCCTCCAGGTAGCTCCTCATTCTCTCAGCCCAATGGGCCGCCTCCCACTTGCGCTTGGTGATCTGAGCCGCCATGTCGGCCGCGGTCCAGGAGGTCAGGTCCTCGTTCAGGGCGATGTAGTCGGCGCCATCGTAGGCATATTGCTCATACCCGCGGAGGAGGCGCCCGTCGGGTCCCACTTCGCAGCCATACATCTCCTGGATGGTGTGAGACCCTGACCCCGCCCCGCGGTCAGCACCGCCCCGCCGGCCCTGCGGGGACTGAATCTAAAACTTAAACTGAAACCGGGTCGAAGTCCCCGCGGGCTCCTCCCGGGTGGGGGCCGGGCGGGTCCCGCCCCCTCGGGATGACG